ACAGGTTTCTATGGTTTACATTTCTTTCCAAAAAGTGGCATTTTGATTTCGACTGTTACATCAAGTGTTTTCGTGAGCAATAAGCTCAATTTAAATATTCAAACACCAATGAATATGTATAAAAATCTTTCCAAGCAAATCAAAAAGATACAATGGACACATTTTTTAACATGTGCGAGTAGTAAGTGTCCAACATGAAAGAATAAGCATTGTAATAGTAATTTTTTCGAGAATGTGGTTAAAAAGTAGGAAAAAATTTTGGATTTACGTGCAAAATTATTTTATTAGAAAAATGTATGGTTTGAGAAAAAAATGAATTTTGATACAATGTGGGTCAAATAGGGACTTAATGCCTATAAAGAAGTCTGTATTAGCATACTAGAAAATACAGATAGTACAAAGAACCTTAACTTCTATCTTTCAACAAAACAACTCACTTCAAATGCCATGAACATGAGAAATTACATTTATAAATGATAAATGCAAAGCAGAAAAGAAAAGAAAGATTTTCAAATAACGTGTTAACACTTCAAAATCAAAAAAGCAGAGCAGATCACCAATCTATCTTCAGATTAACTAGCAACAATTAAGAGCCCATGCAGGGTAAAAAAATGACTCAATAACATGAAACAAAATCTCAGAACTTTCAAACTAAGACCAAATCCAGCTACATAAATTTGACTTGAGTTGGGTGAATAAATTGTCCACAAAATATAATGAGAAGCAAGATCAAATGAAAGTTTTGACCAAAATCATGAATCTTCGAAACAAGCATGTACATAATCTGAAAAAGACCTATAAGCTATCCGTATTAGTATGTGCCTTCAAGTAATTACCTCAATTGTCTTGCCATTTGATGCCGTGACAATATCTCCAGGTCTCATACCTGTTCCACTTATCATATTCTCGCAGGCTGCGACAATGAAATGAACCTGATCAAACATCACCAATTATCAGGTTCCTTTCAACGAGTTGTAAACCCTAAAAGGAGATGATTACAAGGCATTTCAGAATGGGAGTAAAAGACTACAAGGACTAGATAAACAAGAAAACAAATCAACGAACCAGCATGTTGTCCCTAAAATTAAGTGACACTAAAAAAGGTCACCTCTACTCCAGCAGGCTTGATTTGACCAAGGGATTTTGCTGCACCAAACACTGCTGCTGCTCCTCCCATGTCAAATTTCATGAGCTCAATTAAACAAGCTGGTCCTGTCTTGATATTGTAGCCACCACTGGAACATAAAAGAATAAAATTCAAGATTTTGTTTGGGTGAAGTGTCCACGAGCCCATTTCAGCCGGATATCTTAAGGGCATTTTTTTTTTCTATTCACAATTATACAGTAAAGACCTTTGCTCCTTCATAAAAACCTGTATTCACCTGTCAAAAGTCAACCCCTTTCCAACTAAGGCCAGCTTGGTTTTGACTGCTCCACCAGGAGGCTTGTAACATAAATGGATGAAATGTGGAGGATTAGCAGATGCAGCAGCAACACCAAGATAAGAACCCATTTTCAATTGTTTGCACTGCTCTACATCCAAAATTGTTGCAGTAAAAACATCACTGTAATCAAAAGCAATCCTCATAGCCTCTCCTGCTAATATTCCTAATATATCCAAGAAACCAAAGTTAAAATAAGTAAGGAATTTTACCTTACCAAGGCAATAAAGGAAATATAGCTTTGAAATGGACATACAAGAAGAGAGTTCCTGGCTTACATTAACAGTTCTCCAGACTATTAACCCTTTGATAGTAATGGAAAACATAACACGAAAAAGATACATGACAGTGTGAAAGATTACTAACCAGGAGTGAGCACATTAGCAGGTGCATTTACAAGCTCTTTTCCAAATATTATTCCAGAACAAACATCCTCTGCACATTTGAGTTTCTTATCTATCTCCGATCCAGTTCCAAGACCAAGAATTTCCACAGATTTGAGAGATAATTTCTTTGGTTCTGATTTGAACCTATTATCTTCGTAAGTCCCCAGCACAACTCCTTTTTGGTTGTAGAAAATTCCAACATATTCAGTTCATGACTTAGCAACAGATAGATTTTTGAAGTTCAAATAAAAGTGAAGAAACAAAGAAAAAAGTACCAGTGGCTATTGCTGAAGCAATGGCTATTTTTGATTTAGCAGAAAGCCCTTCAGAAGAAGAAAGAGTAATGGCAATTTTACTAGACTTAGAAGTCTTAGCTGCTTCACCAAGAGTTTCCCCAAGATTGCGGTAAGACACAATTTCTGATGGAGTAGATCCAAGCCCAATTAGACCTATCCTTTTTGAGCCAAGTCCCGGAAGCCTGAGAACCGTCGACTGTCCGACCTTTCCAGTAAAATCCTCCTCGGATGATGCTTCTGACAACAATCCACCTAACTGTTTATCTAGCTTAAGCAAGATTGAATTCTTGAACTTCAGATTTTCATCTTTGGCCATGTCCTTCTCTGTGACACCTACTGCCAGCATGTCCCCTTTCCATTTTACCAAATCAATCTCTATTGCGGCAAATGAGATCTTCAATTGTTGTAAAACCATACCATATTTAGTAATTTACATAGTGTCCCCTTATTAACACACTATCAAACATTCATTTAATACTCGAGTACACAAGATACATATATAGCGAATGGCATTTGAGGAGGACACATACAAAAGATTGACCAGAACCAAAAAGGCCAAAACCATTAACTAAACAGAACTATAGCAAAGAAAAATCATTAAATAATGACAGAAAATTCAAGTTCTTAAGGTGCAGCCAAATAAATTGCTTAAAGGCGAAAATTTTATTTCAATTTTTATCACAAAGGAAAGAATACATCCAAGAACAACTTTACTTTTGTGTAAATAAAGATAATCACAATCAATCTTAGACTATTCATAAAATCCTGCTGCGTATCATCCTCACTAAAAAGTAACATAAAAAAAATAAATAAATAAATAAAAATAAAAATCGCAATATTCTTGGAAAAGTGCATCTACAATGGTGTCTCGGAGTGTATGTGTTGGTGATGTGAGAAAAACAAAGAGAGAACCTGTGGGGTGTCTATTTGACCGGGCTGAGTGAGGCCAAGGGTTTCCCGAGCCATGGAGTAAGCCATGCGCTTTGCTCTTCTGGAACAGAGGGGTGTGAGTGCAAGGAAAACACCTCAACGAATCGTAATTTCTTAAAACCTGTAGAGCAACAAGGAGAAGAAGATGAAGCGAGCAAGACTGAAACCAAACCAGATTACTCCAATGACGTCGAAACGCGTGCCCTTCTTGGGCATTTATAGTTGATAGACTGACACTACTGACGTTAAAGAATTGAATTATTTGATTTCGACAGTACGCTGTTTACGATAAGGTTATACGCTTTCGATAAGGTTATACGTTTTCCATGAATAATGCTATCTACAGTTGTTCACTACGGTAGTCGTCTTACGTGATATATACATAGTAGGTGATTATTTAATGCATTAATGAATAAAAAACTATCATATTAATATATCAAATAATCACCTGCCATGTGTATATCACGTAGGACGATTACTGCAGTGAACGAATACGAATAGCATTACTCGCTTTCGATAGATTAACTCACCCCTTTATTCTGTGCTGTGAAACAAGATTGTATGCTTTCCATGGTTATTCATTTTTCCTTTATTCTGTACTGTGAAACCGTAAATTCTACTTATCTTAGGTTCTTGTTTCCACTAAACTATTAAATATCATAACTTTGAACATTTTGGAGAATTTATTCCCTATTAATTTAGCATATCTTTGTTCAGTGTTTTTAAACACTTCATAATCAAAATTCGAATTATCTTTTATCCATACATTTATATCAACAACTCAATTCTATTTATTTAGCTTCAATTTATGAAAAAATTATAAACAATTTTATTTATAGATAAAAATGAGTGATGAATAAACATATATTATTTTCACAGCCATTAAAATGTGTGATTGAAAATGAAATTTGACCATTTTTAATTTATCAAATGAAAACTTGTAAACTAAACCATTTACATTTGCCAAACAAGCTCTTAAGGATTTGTAACTTGCTTCAGTCCTTAATTTTAAGGGTTATAATTTATTGTCTCTATCATGTTTCGTTTAAATAAAAATTAAAATTTTAGTAAATTTAAAGGAAAAAAAATTGATAGAATATGCGATTGAAAAATTGTAAATTATCCTAAAAATACGATGTTAAAATTTAATTGTTATTTTTGACTTGTATTTTAATCAAATTTTTAACTGAACTTATTATTTTTCTCTACTCATGCCAATTAAGTTTGAACTGAATATTGAATAGGATAAGAATTCATGATATATAAGAAATAAAACTTATTTATTAAAGAAAAAATAATGAGATAGTAGAAAAATGATTAACGTCCATTCAAATAAATGTATAATATATATAAATGTACTCATATCATTATAATGTCAAACATCAACCGATTTACATTAACAGCTCTTTTTGAAAAATTGTAATGACGGAAGCTATACTCATAATAACCGTACCATACAACCCCTTATTGCAACACCAAATGAACCTTGTATCAAGTTCGAGAATCAGAGGCAGAGGGATTGATCGAGAAAGATCTCTTGTTCTTATTATAGGATCATGATTGGATCCGCAGAAGATCATTTTCTCCTTCATTTATCTTTTATGCGGTCACTGAATATTGTGCTTCATGTTTTTGAACACATTCAACACGATGCCGTACTCAAAAGATTCACTGGATGGGTAACTAAGAAATTAGTACAAGGATTTCCAATATGGTTTCTATAGATAATACCCCCCACCCCCAACCCCAAAAAAAAAAAAAAAAAAAAAAAAAAAAAAAATTTTCCTAGAAGATCCAACATATGTTATGAGTGTGTGTTTAAAATTCAAAATCTGTGAACACCAATAATCCAAGCAAATGAGTGACAAGAAAAATAAATTAATAGTACTAATAATTAATGGAAACATAAATTAGGTAAAATGAAATTAAAGTTCAATTCAGTAGACTGTTAAAGGAAGCAAGGAAACAAGCCAATACTTCAGACCAATAAAATGCCTAATATGCACAGAGTTATACGGAACACCAAAACTCAATGTTACAGAGCCCAACGCCCACTTTTACACACTAATAACTAATCTATTCCAAATTACTCATGAATCTGAATAATACAGAAATAAACATCTCATTCATAGACTAAACTAAAGCAACATTTAACATACAACGAAAAGGAGAAGAGAACAAGTCAAATGAGGTAATTAAGCTACCTTAAACTTCCATTAGGAATGTGCGCTGTTAATTGGACTCTTCCAGTTGTGCAAACCAACCCAGATTTCAGCAAGGCTTGATCTCAAATCCGATACTTAAAAGGGCTGGAGCTAATTTCACTGTGTTGTCCCCACCCAGATTCAATGCCTCACCTGTCAATTCACCTTCTTTGTCCACTGACCATTGGGTAGTTTGGCTCAGATGTGGCTCGGTTTTGTTAATGTGCAGATTGTGCACGGATGCCCGAGAAACAGCAGTAACAAGAGGACTGCTCGTTGGGCCATGACGTTTTCTTGGTACTGGCATGTCATGGTCATGCTCTCCCTTATAGGTTATTATTACAGCAATTGTGTTATCGACAGCCCTCTCAATATGCTTTCTAACAGGACATCCCGCTGATGTACACTTATAATAGTTCCTGGTAATCATTCAATGGATAATTAACAATTTAACATCTAGAGAAAGCCAAAATTAGCAAATGTTTCAAAATATGAAACCCTACATTACCATGCCTATATTTTCTAACCAACTGCTAAGATGGTTTCATATGGGCACAAATGAAAATAATGTCCTGAATATGGTTGCTGCTAGCCAATAACATGAATATTGACGCACTAGTCCACCGATGGGCATTCCAACAGCAACCATCATCTCCTAGACTCCTACCATGTCCGTCAATTTGACAGTCATCAATCATCATAGTCATCGGCCATCAGTCGTCAAAATTTTAGGTATGATGGATCGACAGTGAACGCAATTCATTGTTACAGTTGCAGTAAAAATATCGCGAATTCAGAAAAACCTTGCGAAGGAGATTCAATGTTTTGATAAATCACTTCTTGCGAAGAGAAGCTTCTATGAACGGTCAAGCCTTCATGATTTCAACATGGACACTACACTTAAAAACGTTAAAATTATGTACCATGTGTTCTGCATTTATTTAAGGAGATTCTGGTATTGGTAGCATCATACAAACAGAAACCAATAGAAAGAAGTCACTCGTCAAAAAATTAGAACATTGCCCAGAAGATCTGCAAGTCAAGACATCAAGTACCGCATGTAAGTACTCTTTTCTTATTTGACAATTGAGGAAAAGGAAGAAAATCGTGACAGTGTGAAGCAGTATTAAAGCAATTGGAATTGTCAATAGTTGGAAATTAGATGATAATCCAAGTCCACAAGATAGTCAGCCCTTTTCCTTTGAAAAGGGAATAACACAAATGTGATAAAAATTGGATGATAGTAAGATACAAGCACACCGGGGGCAACATTTACTCCAAAAAATCAGAAGAAAAAGATAGATTTATTTGGGTGCTGTCACACGAGTGCTTCTATTTGTATAATAGTTATTTCTGAGGCAGAAGATCTAGAGACACATGATTGAAGGTGAGAGAAATAATATATCACAAGAAGGCAACATCAGAATTTTATAAAGAATTAGAAACTCAAGGACACATTTGGTACACCATACAGGATTAGGAGGGATAGGACTAGGAGGATAGGGGGAATAGGATTAAGGAGGACTGTGGCGGATTATTGTACTGCGGCTTTCGATGCTAAACTGTTACTGTATTAGAATAACATATAAGTATTGAAACTTAAAATATTGATAAAATATTTTTTATATATAACTTACAAGTGAATTATTGATTTATAAGTGATTTTTTCCTCATAAGTAAATATTTTAGTTATATGTAAGTTCTTTATCTAAGACTGATCGTTTACTTAAATTTGACATTTACTTTTACCTATTAAGTAAATTAAATTTTTTTACTTAAAAATAATTTTTACTTAAACATGAATTTTGAACTTGTCAGTTATTTTCATTTACAAGTAAATATTTTACTTATAGTGAATTTTTAACTCATAAGTAATATTTAACATATACCTGAGTTTTTTACTTGTGCCCTGTTATATTAGAAGTATATTTAAACGAAAATTTTACTTACTATTTTACCAACTAGTAAAATTTTATTCATAAGTGAAAATGATTTATTTTAAATTTTCTGATGTGTGAATAAATTCTGGTCATGTGAAGAAATTTATTGTGGTACTGTTTGTTAGCATAGGGGTAGGGTTAGGGGATTACAGTTCCTAACAGTAGCATGTAAGGGTAGGGTGGGGAGGAATTAGTGCACCTGCGTGGGGGTGGGTGTGGTGGGTTAATATTATTAAAACTTGTGTTCGTACATGACCACATATTTATCGGTCTTAATCCTTTTTTATTTATTTATTATTTTTTTTAACGACCGTGGGTGTTAGGGTCAACTTACGCGCACCTCGACTAATTCCACGGGGCCTGAAGTTTACAGCCGGGTCTTAACCCATCTATTTACAGGGATTAAATTTATCCGGATAGGTTAAGGTAGGATAACTTGACCCGGATATTTAATACGGGTAAACATCGGCTAGGAAAAAGTTATCCTTATCTTGTGTAATACAACACGCCAAAAGGACCCCAAATGTATCATAATCGTCCAGCAGAGGTTCATCCTCATCATATAGTGTCAAGAGTCTGGGCTATTTTACATTTGAGAGTGATCTTTTACCATGCACCATAGAATTTTGGGACTTCTGAGTACAATAATAGTAAAATAAATAAAATAGAATGCACGACATGATTAAGCAATTAGGTAACCCATGTTAGGAGGACACATGGCTGGATAGATTATTAAGCACAAAAATTAGCATCAGAGCCACAGTACTATTACAGTATTTCTTACAAGTTCGACCACCACACATGAAATTCATATAAATCATGGGTATTTGTGGTTTTCATTAACTATGCAGCTAGGTCATTAATTTTAACGAAATCAATCAAATATAACAGTCAGCATATTTAAACTACAGTTTCACCTTGGGTGAGGGTTCCCCTTCACCATCTTTTGTCCATACTTGCGCCACCTATAGCCATCTCCTGATATCCCAACATCACCAGCTGCATGAACAATGAATTTAGGTTTCTTTCCTGGTTTGGAAAAAGATCCTGAATCATCTGCGGGATTTTTCTTCAACCTGGCAATCCAAAGATGTGAAACAGTATCAGATCATTATGGTGACAACCATCATCAGGAAAAGAAAAATTGTAACATGATATGTCGAAATCATTACTCAAGCAAGTCAGAAACCCACCGTTTCTTAAGTTCAGGTTTGTCAACGTGCTCCTCACTACCATTAACTTCCATGGTCTCATCAGAGTCACTTGAGTCCTGTTGTTTTGTTTCAGGTACCTGAATCTTTTCTAGCAAAGGTTCTTTGGAAGAAGACAGAACATCACTAACACCACCACCTGCTAAAGCTATATTGTTACTCCCATTAGCTGGCACAACTGATAGTGCAGGTTTTTCCATAATGCAGTTTACTTTTTGAGGAGGATCGTGATTGTGGTGACTTCTATAAACAGTCTCTATGACATGGTTAGAATGATTGCAGCACTCAATCTTCTTAGCATTACAGTCAGAGAAAGTGCATCTGTAATAGCTCCGAGAACCTTCAGGACTCTTTACTTGCTTCTGACCATACTTCCTCCAGTTGTACCCATCAGAAGGTGTCTTCAGCATAGGCACAGAAGACAAAGGTTTTGGGTCCAAATGATTCTGCTTGTCCTGTTCCGCAATACATGGATTGCTTCCATTCCCTACTTGTGAGAGTTTTTGTTCTGGTAAAGTTGGACTTAGGATGGATGAAATGGACTGCGTAATAGAAGTTGGTGACACCTCCAACTTGGCCGAACCACCAGGATCCTGTCTTGGACTCTGTGCCTGTACTTGGGCAGATTGACTAGTAATACCTATCAAAGGTTCCTCAGGGACCAAACTTAATTGATCCTGAGGTGCCAAAGAAGTAAGATGAATTGCAGAATAATATTTAGTAAATCTAGTAAAATGAACTGCTTTTCATTAAAAAAAACATAAAAATAAAAATAAAATTGGACTCAAAATAAAGTCCATTGCAGACCCAAAATAAAGTCCATGGCAGATTTGCTCCATCTCTAAATAGCAGTACAAAATTCATCCAGATCATTGTTCTCATCAGTGTATAGTATGACATCAAATGGAAATAAAAGTTTTGAAAAGTCAAATGTGCGTGATAACTTGAAATGGCGAACTTGGTTGTTAATGCAAAAGCAAGTACTGAATACAGATCATAGTGATATGAAAAATGATATTAAGGGGGTGTTTGATAGACATTTTTATGTAAAAATGCATTTTAGAATAGTAACTTCATGGGAAGTGCGTGGTTGAAAAATAAGGAAAAGTTTTTTATTTACGTGTAATATTATTTTAATAAAGAATGTGTGGTTGAAAAGAAGAGAGAGAAAAATGCATTTTGAAAAAAATGGATATCAAACGTGGGCTAAAGCAAAATCATTTCCAGGGTACATAAGATAGAACTGTACGGAAGCCGTCATTGATCTCTACGTTTTGTCTAGTGAATAAGAGAGCTAACTGCAGTTAATCATCCAACTCCGCATCTAGTTAAATAAACAACCAACGTTTAGTTCACCTTAAAGCTATTTAGCAGGCTCATTCAAACTAAATATGATCTGGAATAAAAAGACAGGTAAGATATTAAGATCAAATCAGCCTAGAAAATAATTTTTACAGACAAGCGCATTTCAGGAAAATGGTCATTAACTTAGAAATCTGAAAAGAAAAATATTTATGAAAGTGAAAACAGATTACGCTAGAGGATAAGGTTTATTAGTTTTTTTTACCACAGCTTTAAACATCCAGGAGTTAGAAAGAAAAAAAAAAAAAAAAAAATTCTGTAATGCTATCTCTAACAACCAAGGAAAAAATTTCGAAAAAATGAGAGGGTCAAAGTATTGTATGGAAAACCAGATAAGATCTAGAGGTGGAAAATCAGCATTTGACTTTATATTTGAAGAAAGTTGATTTGCGACATATGGTATACCCACAGATATACACAAACACAAGTATAAAATTTTTCTATAACGATGTATCTTTTTAATCTTTTCTGTTATTAATCAAGCACATAAAAGAAGCAATCTTGCAAATATATAGACCAATGGGATTCAGTTGTATTATAAATCATTATATAGCCAGCATAATGTGCATGGCAAAAGAGGACTGTGGTTGAGCTTTAAGATAAATCTCCTTCAATAAAGATTTTTTTTAGCCCAAAAACAATTTTAAAAAAAATTCAATGTATATTACATTAATGACTGAAGCCAATTACCAAATTGAGACTAATCTAAGTCACTCAAATCTCTTGTGGCTTATGAGCACGTTTCCTGTACTTCATAGGCACTCTGGAGAAAGAATGATTGAGATCCCAGAAAGAATTATATATTTTACACCCTTACAGCATTCCTTCCACTTAAGCTTATTGGTTTTTGCACTCTTTGGTCAAGTCACTCTAATCAGGAGTCCACACTCTTACGTTCCTCAAAATCAGAAGGTTAAATATAACATAATCTAAAAAACCAGAAGAAACTTAAAATTATGCAACCAACTCATTTTCCGGATAAAGTTTAAAATTGATCAATGGAAGAAGTGGACTGCAACAAAATCAATTAGAAAAATTCGGTCATACAACAGCAATATTCATAAACAAAATCAGCAAAACGAAAAATTAGTTTTTCTTCACAGGAGATGAAAGATTACGAAAATAAAAAATTCAGTCCATAAATGTGTGTGTGTGTGGGAATGCAAACTCACTACTTACTTTCAAATCTTCCACCGAGTGTAGAGGTTGCAGGGAGTATTTGATCGGAATCTCTGCCAATATCAAAATTTATCACAATTACTGCATCTACTCGTTCATTTACCGTACACATGCACGTAAACACACCCATTCCACACACAAAATCAATTTGATTCTACAAAATCATCTATATAAATTACCTCGCTATTATACGCACGAAATAAAAACAGGCGGACGAGCATAGCAAAAGACGAAGAATTATTCACATACCCGAGAGAAGGTGAGATGAGGCACTAAAATCGGCCTGCAAATCACTCTCCACTAGCGGCACCGAAGAAGAAATGGTACCAGATTGAGAAGCTTGTGATTCTCCTCCCCTTCCGATTAAAGCGTTCTCAACTGTACCATTACAGCTATTATTACTACTCAATTCCGTCTGATTTTCATCCTTTTCGATTTTTTCCTTACAAATTTCTTCTTCCTTGTTTTGCTTTGAAATTTCCATAACCGTTTCTTCCAGAGCTTTAGAACTCTGTTTATTAACTTCGATGGCCGGATTCCGACACACAGTCAGTGTGTAAGTGCGTTTTCTTTTCTTCTTTTTTTCCCCCCCAGAGAAAAGGTAAAGGTTCTGTTATCTTTACGAACCTTTCAGCGTTTTTGCATTCGATTTTAATATTTTTTTATTTATTTATTTATTTTTTTTTATGAGAGAATTCTTCTTCAAGTACAACTTAAATGACTAAAATAGGCCTCTGAAAAGCAATGAACACGGGATTAAATGGTAATTTAGAATCCGGACATTAATTCCGGTTTTGGATTTTTATTTGGGTTTCTGTTGGATGGTTTTGACTTCTGTTGACTCTGGTCTGGCTGTGATTTTTACATAAATACCCTAAGAAGAGCCAAACCCATAATAGAATCAAATTGCGTCAATGGGCAGAAGAGGCAATTTCATTTTGGCATCGCAAAACGAATATGTATAAAGGGTTTGGATCCTGTAAACGGGTCCCGAGGATAGGAGAGAGGGATGTTTGATTAAAGTGGGTGCAATTTGGTGTGGTTTGACTTGTACCGACTAGGATCAAGTGGGTTTGATTGGGTGGTAATTAACGCCGTTAATTTGTCGGTCATTGTCGTTTCGTGGGGAGAGAAATTAGTTTAACCTGACCCAATTTAATTGTCGAAGTGCCCGTTTTCTTGTTACTTTAGCAATAAATATCGAAAAAATTAATAAAATATGTAGTTAAAAATTTGATATAAAAAAATTATGTGTCTTATGATTGAATGTAGATAAAAATGAATTTTTAAAAAAATTGAAGCAAAATGCAGCTAAGAACGACGTTTTCTTTGCTTTAATAATAATTAAAATCGGTACAACATTACTAGCTCAAAATTATTTAACTGTTTATAGTTTAAGCTATTGAAAATTTTATTTTCGACGGTATAAACAACAATTATGAGTATGATCTTGTATTTATAGATATTATTAATGATATGTCATATTATTTTGTTAATAGCTTTATTGTCATGTGAAAGCTCAAATGTGAGTCATAAAGAAAATACCTGTAAAAACGTTTTGGCATGCAAAATAGAAGATTGAATGCGCAGAAAACGTGAATAGTCAAGTGTTGACATGCAAAATAGGAGAATGAATGCATGTACAAATTGTGAATTAATATGAGTGGTTAGAGTTGTATGGCATGAAAATATCTCATTTATGCATTTATTTTATTTTATGTATAACAAGTTTTTTCTCATATCCGTTATGATAATTTCTCATCCTCTTTGTTTCTATTTTTCTTTTCTACGAAAAGTTTCTTTTTTAGGATAAGAAATTGTTACTATTGATTCAAATTAGGAGTTGTAGTACTCTAATTAAAAGTGAGACGATGAGGGATAAGTTTTATTATCAAGAGGAAAACAGTCCAGATCATCTATTAAGGTCTCTAAAGATCACGTAGTGATAAAGAGGTAGGGATTGCAATAGGGAGAGGGCGGGGCTACCCGAAGCCCATTTACTATTTAGTCAAAAAAATAATTTCTTAGAAAATTTTTGTTTTTCTATGTATAAGTTTAGTAAATTTTTTATTTTTATTTATTTTTATTTATTATTATTTTTTTATCCCTCCTAACTCTGCCGCATGGATAGTGAGAAGGAAATCTTTATATTAAAAGGAAAAAAAAAACTCCTGATATAATTAAGAAAGTGATTTTTGCAGCGGGACGGTGAGACCCTCAAGGTTGAGGTTCAATATTTAAGAAAGTGATTTCTTCTACAATTAGGAAGAGGCCTTCTGATATTACAGCTAGATGACTTTGGCATGGAATTCATACATTATCCTATATACACATCATCAGGAAATAGTTTCACATAGTCAAGGTGTTAGCATGCATAAACAAATTTGAAAAGGATACATCAGTTATGTGTGTTTAAATGAGATTCAAGCTTCTACTTTTAAAATGAAATTTGAACATCACTTGGATGCTAGCATTGATGGTGTTAGATAATAGCAATCACTCATTGCTGTAGATTTCATACATGTTTGGCAAAGTTTAATTTATAATTAATGTCGATCACACATAATTTTTATTCTCACATTTTTACGATTCACTACTATTATTCACTTATTAATATTATATATCTATAGGAACCACAATTTATATTCTGTACATGCTGGGCAAAGTTTAAATTATAATTAATATTCTTTATTTTAGAGAGCAAATACTTAAAAATGAGCTACAAAGAACCCTCTATTTTAACCTTTTTAAATAAAGAGTGAGTTTGACTCTTCAAATTTAAGGAGCTAAATTCATTCTTTGTTTTTAATGTGCAATAATTGGATTGAATAAATAACATATTTCACTATTTTACTTCTTAAACTAGTCAAATCACATTTAAATTGATTGGTTAATTGACATATAAAAAATTATGTTAAATAACATATGAAATAAAATCAATAAATATTTTTTGAGAAAAACAAAATGAAGAACTTGTAGGAGTGTATAAAAACAAATTTTACTTTCTAAATTTAAATATGCTCTCTATAATACGTTAAATGCTCTTTATAAATAAAAAAAGTCTCTTTATTGGTCACGAATTGTCTTTACTAGATAATTTGATGTAAATATTATAGAGCCACAAGTCTAAGAAAGAAGAACATACCCAAATACAATTTATTGAGGTTTATGTGGATGGTCCTTACAATGGTAGACCCGGGGACTTGAAACGAGTGGGATTTGATATAACTATGAAAAAAATTTCAAACATGAAATATAAAAAATATTTTTAAAAAAATTATATTAAAATCTATCATATCCATAGGCGGATCCAAGCCCTAGCCCATGCTCACCCAAGCCCAGATGGAGTCAATCTATATATATATATTAGTTCAGCCCATGTAAAATTTAAAATCAGCCCATGTGGTGTAAACCCAGTTGCAACAAAATGAGCAAATGACCCAACTTTAATTTATTGGTCCAAACAAAACATAAATTTTATTTTCCATTTAAACCCAAAACTAAAACCAAACACAAACCAAATTTAATTCTAATCCAACATTAATCTCCAACAACAGGTCCAAACCTACTTTTTTAGACCAGACGACGATTCCTCTCTCAGACTCTCCCAGTCTCTCCATCTCCAACCTTTTTTTTTTTCAAATTTTCAATCCAAGATTTCTATAAAATTAAGGAACTCATTACCCTAATCAAAGATTTCATAGCCCAATACCTTCTAGTAGGTGCCGACGAGCCGCGAAGAACCGCCAGTCCGCCGTGTAGAGGTGGCTCAGCTCCTCAATCCCTCAGCCAGTCAGCCCAATACCTTCTAGTTCTAGTCCGCCGACGCCACTGCTGTTCTCCGTTTCTCTTTGTATGTCTGTGAGCCTCTCTTTCTCTGAATGGCTGTTATGGCTTGTATTATGTAGAGTTTATAGACCATAGTTGTACAGGATTAGAAAATCCAAATGCTGGAAGTGTTGGAACTTAGAAAATAAAAGAAGAAGAACGGCCTTTTAATTTATATGGATTGTTGACACATGGAAAATTTTGATAAAGTCAAAAGTTAATTAATTAAAAAATAAGAATTGTTTATCAGTTTGTCTATTTGTGGTATGTGGTTTAAAGCACAAATAGATTATAGATATTATCTCATCTCATGTCTATCTTTTTAAGTCATTATTTTTATATTGTTTAAATTATTTTGATTGATTTTCACAAAATACAAAAATGAAACAATTGCAATAACTGTAAAGTAAATAAAAAATATTTAAAAAATGTATATTTGTACGGTAGTAACTTTGATTTTATAACTTGGACCATTTTTTATATATATTTGTCATTAATATTATATTGATTATTGAGTATGAGTTTTTTAAAAATCGAAGTTTTCTTAGATTTCGATTGTCAACATGCTTAATTGAATTATTTTTCAATTTCAAAAATGAGTAAACTTATCATTATCAAGGCATAGACGTACTCCCGGTCCAACGAACATGTAGGAAAAGCAAATTGCAAGTGCTTAATATTCTCCCTCGTCACTTGTAAGTAAATGCCATCGTCTCTCCACTTGTGGGCTTTGCCGGCAAAATATTGAATTATTTAATTAATTATTGTTGAAATGTTGCCTTGTCGGCTTAATAACTTGTTTTTGCCTTGTTGGCATGTTGCCTTGTTGGCTTAATGATTTTTGTTGTTGTCTTGTTGGTTTAATGATTGTTGTTGTTGCCTTATCAACTTAGTGGATTTTTTTTTTATTGTTGCTAGAATAATATCATTGATGATTGATTTTTTCTTTTTTACCTTTTTTTTGCAATTGTAAGAATTGAAAATGGAAGGTCAACCTCCTCGCAAGAAGAATAAGAACTTGTTTTCATTCTTCCAAAGGACTGGTCAACCTACTGAAAGTACAACTTCTGATGGACTAACTGAAGATCTACCTTCATTTCCTTCGGAAGTTGAACATCATTCATCCTCAAATATTAGCATTGAACGAGAACCAGGAAAAAGAAAGGCCGGGCCTTATCAACCAAGACTTGTTGAGTATCCTAGAACACAAGGAAAATCTCAATCTTATCGCTTTCGGGCAAAATGGTTCAACCAGTTTCCTTGGTTAGAATATTCACCTACAACAGATAGAGTGTATTTCTTTTATTGTTATCTTTTCCGAAATGATGGAAATCCGTCCAATTGTTCGGCATTGGTAACTTCTGGATATAACCAATGGAAGAGGGTTAACGATGGAGCAAAATGTGTATTTCTTACTCATTTGCGATCATCGAAACATAATATGTGTGAGAGAAGAGCTAAAGATTTAATGAAACCGTCTCAACATATTGATAAAGTGATACATACCATATCGAATGAAGAAGTTGAGAGACGTCGTCTACGTTTAAAGACTTCAATTCGAAGGCACGTTGGCTAGCATTTTAAAGTTGTTCCTTTAGAGGTCATGATGAATCTTTATCTTCATTAAATCGTGGGAATTTTATTGAGATGATAAAAATTTTGGCAGAAAAAAATACAGAAATTGATAAAGTTGTGTTGAAAAATGCTCCAAAAAATGCCCAATACATTGCTCTGAGTATTCAAAAAGAAATCTTACACATAATGGTGAATAAAGTAAGAAGGATGGTTCGTGAAGAAGTTGGGAATGGATACTTTTGTATTCTTGTTAATGAAGCACAAAATGCATCTAAGAGAGAACAAATGGCTATTATTTTGAGGTTTGTGAATGGTCAGGGTATTTTGACGGAACGTTATTTTGATATCAAAAGCGTCAGCGACACCACATCATCAAGTCTAAAAAATGAGACTGTAAATGTTCTTGAAGTGTTAAAAATAAGAGGCCAAGGATATGATGGTGCTAATAATATGCGGGGCGCTTGGAATGGACTTCAGGCATTATTTCTTAGAGATTGTCCGTATGCGTATTACATCCATTGTCTCGCTCATCGATTACAGTTGGTATTGGTTTATACAGCTAAAGAAGTTGATGTTATTTGGGAGTTCTTTTCTCATATGGACAATATTATCAACATTATCACTTCTTCCCCTAAGCGCGTTACGGAGTTACAATCTGCTCAAAGAATTGAAATTGAGCTTATGTTAGCTATTGGGGAGCGTGAGTCGGGAAGTGGAGCAAATCAAGTGGGTAATTTACAACGATCAGGAGAAACTCGTTGGAGTTCTCATTGTGACTCTATAAAGAGCTTAATAGATATATATAATTCAACTTGCGCAGTGTTTGAAAATCTTAGTGTTCATTGTCCAAATGGAAAATCTCGAGGCGAAGTTCGTGGTACTTACAAATATATGAAAAGTTTTGATTTCGTGTTCAGTTTGCATTTAATGCATACCATCACGAGAATAACGGATGTTTTTTGTTAAGCCCTTTAAAAGAAATCTTAAGACATCCTGACTGCTGTGAGATTCGTTTTTACTACAACAAAACTCCTCCACAAATTAAGAGATGATGATTGGGAAGAATTTCTTGAGGAAGTGAAAAAGTTTTGCTCAAAACATGATATTGAGATACCCGATCTAGAAAGTTTATATAAGGTTGGTCCTTGCCGTTCTCGTGATCCAATTACAATGAAGCATCATTATCACTTTCATGTTTTCAGTGAAGCAATAGATTACGTATTGATGGAATTAAATACAAGATTTAATGATACATCAGTTGAACTTCTCACACTCAGTGCAGCGTTGGATCCTAGAGATTCATTTGCATCATTTAACAGTTACGATATTTGTACACTTGCTGAGAAATTCTATCCTGAAGATTTTCCAAAGGAAGATATTCGTACTTTGGAATATGAGTTGCGACACTATGAGCTAGATATGAAGACTGAATCTCGATTTCAAGTATCTACACTTATTGAGTTATGTCGACAGTTGACTGAGAGTAGAAGATCAGAGATTTATGTTATGGTTACTAGACTGATTTGTCTTGTATTGACTTTACCTATTTCTACTGCGACTACCGAGCGAGCATTTTCAGCAATGAAACATGTGAAGACGGATCTTCGTAACAAAATGGAGATGAATTTCTTGCTGATTGTATGATACTCTTCATCGAACGAGAACTTGCTCAAAAGATAGATATAGATTTTGTGATAGATGAATTTTATGTCTTAAAACCTCGTCGGGAACAACTTCAAATTAAATGAATTTGACTTTAATATAATATATAAATTTATTATATTGACTTTTAAATTTTAGCCCGTGCACCAAAAACTCCTGGATCCACCACTGATCATATCTCAATAGGGCCGATGACCCTATACTGGACCAACCTCCGACAATCGTCGAGTTCTTATAGTCACTATAAATTACCATGTACTTCATTTTCTACGAAATAAAGGAAGGGCAACAAGCCTAAGCATTATCGATGGATATGTCTTTGCTCTTCCTACTAGTTAGGCTAGCAAAAGAGCACAAGCTTCATAAGAGTTCATGAACCAAGAAGAGGATAATACAATCATCGAATCTAAAAGACGTGTCTAGTATGTGAAGGCATGAGAAAGAATAACAAATAAAAAATATAAAATTTTTAGAAGGCGTTAAAAAATTTGAAAAATTACCTGCACCATTTGCTAGGAGTAGTTAAAGAAAAAGTTGATATATGTCAACTCAATATAAATCATTAGGAGTTGTTTGATGAAGCTCTCGATAACTCAAGGCCAAAATCATGGCAAGGCCAAATTTCTGGTTTTCGGACCACGGTTCGTAAAGGGTATAAAAGCAAGCCAATCTCACATTGGATACTTAGCTAGAAGTAGTGCAATTTAGTGCTGCAATTCTTCGTTCCTTGCTTCTTTTCTCTTGTCCCGCATTTATTTTTCTAAGCAAAAGGATAATTTCTTTGGTGGCCTATTACCAGAGCCGGCCCCGAAATTTTGGGTGCCCTGTGCGAGATTTTAAAATAGTGGTATTGTGCCCCTTCGAGTAACTAAAACAAATATTAAAAATAATATTTTAATAATATTATTTCATTGCAAAAATACGAAATTTAAAAAAAAAAATTTAATTTTTTTTTTAACATACATGAATAAGAAAAACATAAATAAAATTCAAAAGCATATCTCAAACTTCATCAAAATTCATTGTTATCAACAAAGAACCGTCTAAGCCACTAGCCTCTTCATGCAATTCCATATAAGCAAACCTTGAAAAAAAAAATATATCAAGTGTAAAACTTGAAATGTAACAAATAATGTAAAAATATTTCTTCTCGCATTTTTAGAAACTAACTCACTAATTAAACTTTCTTAATCAATATTTTTTTAAAAAAAGTCTTGCTCAATAGAAATCAAAGCTAATCTATTCAATCGTTCTTCTAACATGATTGATTGCAAATAAGATTTTAATAACTTCAATTTTGAAAAACTTCTTTCAGCAGATGCAACAGTAACAGAAATTGTCAATAATATTCTATAAGCAATACATGTATTCGGAAAGTAATCCAATCTTTTCAAATAAGTCAATATATCAAAAGCCGTCTTTATTTTTTTGGTAAAAGATTTCCCAAAACTTTTAACTCTTGAAATAAAAAGAATATATATTTAAATATTTAATTATAAATAAATATACAACTATAATAAAAAATATTTTTTGGTGCCCCTACAATTTTGAGGCCTTGTGCGGTCGCTCAACTTCATTAGTTTTCATTTCAACTTACGTTGTCTAGTTTAAATTCGCATAATCTTATGCTGTCTTGGGTTTTTTGAGTTCTGCTGATTACCTCATGTATATATGGATGTGCATATGCTCGTCCGTCACCATCGACGGCCTCTCTTTTGGATATTTTCTGCATTATTTGGATAGCTTCTTCAAGAACAAAATCCACAGTTGAACTATTAATGCCATTGTCATCATTACTATCAAGGCCATTGTCATATGCCTATCGTTGCACTGGATTCGGATTCGAATTCGAATAGATACAAAAGTATAACCGACAATCCAAGGTTGTCCCTGAGAAATATGAGACCCTAGGCAATAAATTGTTATGAAACTCTTATATATAAATGAAATGAACACTTTTAAAATAAATAACTTATTTTTAACTTTCATAAAAGTTAATTTATAAATTTTAAAGAAAAATTTATATAGAAGATTTCCTTATTTTTTTTTCTAGATTTTGGTAGGTATGACCCCACAAAAAAGAAAAAAAGAAAAAGAGGAGCATAGAACTAGGTAATAGTTTAATTGTAGATCCATGAATGTAAGGTAAAGTGCCCAAATGTTTTGGGCCTCTTATTTAGTCAAATTTTGTTGTTTTGTTGTTGCTTTTTAAAAAATAATAAGACCCAACTCAAAAAAATAAAGGGAAACTTTTGTTAGACTTTTGGGATTTAAATTTTTTTGAGACCCTTTATACGTTGAGGCCCAAGGCAATGGCCTAGTTTGCCTTGGGCAATGGTCGGGCCTGCGACCCTTAATATGCCCTTGATTTTGCATGGGACATATTGCTTCTTCACTACACGTACGGTCTTATTTTCGCTCTACCTAACATAGTTTTCGACAAGTTATTGGGACGAAGATCTTTCCAGTTCTTGAGCAGCGAGTAATTGTTTCGTTGTCTGCTTTCTTCTTCACTACAATTGGCATCCTCTTGAACATTGACTTCCAATGGATGGCGACCGAGGGAATAACGTTCTAAGGTGGTTGAAGTTCGTATCTCTCCATTCTCATTTATTTGGGGAGTCGTCACTTTCCAGTTGGGGTTTCTTGGAAGGACCACTAATGGTGGATATGTGTGTGAATTGCAAATTATAATTTGAACAGCTTAACTATACTAAATCAAAGTAACAACTTACTTGGAACTGCAAAGGAAAAATGCAGAAATGAAAAATAGTGAATGAGATTGTTATCCAAGGCTAATGTTTAACATTATGTCTTTAAGACGAATTTGCCTTATCAAGGTGCTCACGGATAGTTCGCAGTTGTCTTCCAAGATGCAATGTAATCAAAGCATATGAATTGGGATGATTTTAAACTCACAAGGATGTCCATTTTATAGAGGTTAAGTGGTTGTGATCGAAGAGACATGCCCCAAAATTCAATATATTTTACAAAAAGACATAGCTCTTCAGGCTGCTCACTAACCGTCCGAAATGCGGCTCGAGCGCTCAAAGCTGGGCCACTCGCTGCGCGCTAGGCTACCGCTTGAGCGGCGGAGCTTTATGCTGAATTCCCGTCATCAGCTTTTAATATCGGCATATTATGCAGATGACTATGAAGAGCACTGCTATCTCCATGAAGATAGTGGAGCAGCTTGTACGTGAAGCCAATAATCTCTAAGAAAGAAATCATTATGCTATTATAATTCTAAAAAATTAAGGCAAAGGGAAAATTTAGACACCCTTCTATGGGAAGAATATTAAAGGTGTATGTATATAGAGTAAAGGAAAGGTGTAAAGTTATATGTAGAGGGGTTTTGCTGTAATGCAGCAGCCATTAAAGGCTGACTCGTGGAGAAGGTGTGCTAAAGTGGCTTAGAAGTGTGCATTCAACGTGGAAATATGTGTCATATTGGTGTCTAGTTGCCAGGTTCTTGTGAACACATGTGCATTCTAGTGCAACACAAATTCGATTCTCATGACATGTACTTCGAGTTTCGAGTCAGACAAGATTAAGTACCTGTTTAAATAGGATTTTTTTAGAATAGATTTTATGAAAAGTGAGTTTGTTTTAGAAATTTGATTATGAAATATGAAAAAGTTATGAGTCCACAACAAAAATACTTTATGAGTAGATATTCTGGTTTGAAATGAGTTTTAGAAAATTTGGGTCAAATCGTGATTACTGTGCATAACTTGAGTCTTATCTAATTTACATCCAATCTTCAGCTTGAATATTTCTTTTTGAGGCTCTATCACTTTTGGTACTGTCCAAAAAAGCTTGCTTGCTTCATATCTATTAACAATTGAACATGCTATGTCTATTAGATGTTGAATTGAAGAGTAATTAGTTTGAGCATTATATATTGTTGACGACAAAAATACTAGTATATCATAATAGGCAAATTAGGCAAGCATATCTAAGACCTGAATGTCACATATTGTTTTACATTTTAATATTAAAAAATATATAATTTATTATTTTAGGGATATGAAATGTTGGGGAGTTACATTTTTTTATATTATCTTGGAGTTGAGGTCATTAAGTAGAATTATGGTGATTTTTTTTTTTTATAAGTGTATGGTTTGAGGGAGTTTATGGGTTATAACTTATGAGGGGTTATGGGATTTAATTTTTATTAAATCCTATTACAGTAAAACCTCAATAATAATCGATATCCTGTAAATTAATGACATCAATTTAAATAATAATTTTGGGTGGTCCCGAGTTGGGAATAATTTGTTAAATTAATAATTTGCAAAATTTATAGGATAATAGATTATAAAAAACTCTCTCTCTCACACACACACACATATATATATCTGATATAATAAATAAATGAATACTTTCCTAGAATATAATGCTCTTGATTCGACTATTATAAGACCTTCCTCTAATATTACTAAATTATTGTTGATTTCTTTATACTTTTGAGATGAGAAGTCATTGTTGTATATTTGATGTGTTGTGTTATCATTGTTTTTGTTTATTTAAATGGAGGTTTTGCTTGGTTAAATTTCATGAAAAGGGGAAATGTAGTATCAATGTAGAATCTACTTTTGGAAAAAAATAAATAGATTCATAAATATTATTTGGTTAAAAATACATGAAATTGTTAATGCATCTCCAATGATGGTTTACAATTGAGTGTAAATTGATGTTTCTAAAATTACTTTTGCATCTTCATTTACATCCCAATGGATTTAAATCCAAATTCTGCTCCAGTAAAAAGATCTAAATTTATTTTTTTACCTTTTGCAGATATTAAAAAAGATGTAAATAGACATTTTTTTTATATATTCTGCCGAAAAATGCAATTAGCATTTTTTTGCATATCTCCATTAGAGAGATTTTCTACCACTTTAGAGATCTAAATTACCATTTAAATCTATTTTATACCTTAGAGATGCATACAATATATTTTAAGTAAATAGGAATGTCTT